AAGCCTTTCCAAGCGGGCGCCTGGAAGCTTCTACCCGCTAAGACCCGCGTGTCGTTCAAAGACCTCCTCACTTTCCCAGCGCCTAGAACCCAGCTAGCTGAGCCCTTCTCTGGATTCCCCCCTAGGGCCCCAGACCTTCTGGCACACTGATGTGGGTGGGGGGTCGGTAGGTGGGGTGTGGCGCCTGGAGCTGTCCCCCTTTGCTGGCAGGATTTCCTGTTACTCAAACCGAAGGAGCCCTGGCCTCCCCCTTCCCCCTCGCACTGGCTCTAGGCGAGTCTCCTGCAGCTCTACAGGTGTCAGGAGTCCCTGGTTCCTTGGCCACAGCTCGACTGGCTCCAGTCACTGGGCCCTAGTAAGAAGTCCCCCGGGGACAGTGGCTCCAGATCAGCCCCTTGAGGAAGCCATCTGAAGGGCCCAGATGGCTTCTCCCTTGGGCTTGGCTGAGAGGCAGAGGGCGGAGGGGTGCAGGGAGCAGGGAGTAAGGGCTGGCCGCCTCCCTCGGCTGCCCCCCGGGCTCTCGTCCCGCCTAAGCCCCTGCAGTTGGCCAGCAAGCCTACAGCGCTGTACAACTATGAGGCTTTGGGGAAGTCGCCCCGCGGAGCCAAGAGGAAGTGAGCAAACTGATTTTGTGCAACTTTGCAGGCAGCAGCCGAGTCTGGGAGAGCCTGCCACCTTCCGCCTGCCTGACATCCTGTCTCCGCAGCCACCTGCACCAGTCTCAGGGCTCAGGGTCCCTTTCCTGGGCCCCCCCGCTAACACTGCCTCCTGCCGCTTTTGCAGGCCGGTTGCTGGGGTTTCCAAGGCTTTTCTGAGAAGTTGCAAAAAATCACACGAGTCTCTGGCCAGGATGTTAAACAGAACTCCAAGGCCAAGGTTGCAGCCTTGTGGTTAAGCAGTCGTGTCAGCCCAAAGAGGCTCTTGGCCCGGGCTGGGGACAGGTGAGGCCTTTCCCCAGGACACCAGTGGCCTTTCCTGCGATTCAGGCCCAGGGTTTTTCCCAGATCCTTGCTTCCTCCATGAAGTTCAGGTTCTTCCAGTAGAACTGAAACCGACATGACCCTCCTTTTAGAAGGGAAAAATCCCAGAGCCATGTTTCACTGATAATTTATTTTATTACTTAAAATAATTCTTTTTTGGCATGTTGGTCCAATGAAAAATTTTCTTTCTGGTCCAGGGCTCCCTCGTACAGCGTCTGTCTGGTTCATTCCTCTCTGCCTAACTCAGAGCTGGGGCCAGGTCCACTTTATACTTGCCCTTTGCTCCCATGGTCTCAGCCGCTTCTTTCTTTGCCAGACATGAGGTTAGAACCCCCTGCTGATAATATGGCAACATGCAGATAGGAAAAGTAGCAGTCCCTGCCCCCTGAGCTTGCAGGAGAGACACAGCGTTTGGGGTCCCAGAAGGGGGCGGTGTCGGGGACTTTTTCTTCAAGGTCCTGTTTGAGAACAGTCTGGAAGGAACAGGGCGTGTCTGCTGGTCAGAGGGGGGAGAAGGGCCTTTCTAGACCGCCAGGGCATACGCACAGGGGAGAGGAAGTGAAAGCAGCCTGGAGGCCCGGTGGTTAGCAGTGTGGCCTGTGATTTCTGGGAAACCAGTCGACAGGAGGCCGCAGGGGCCGGGAGACCCCATTGCAGAGGGTCCTGTGCGCCATTCCAAGGAGTCTGAACTTGACCTTGGGGCAACACGGGGGCTGCCTGGGAACCTTGCCTCTGGGGATGGGTTAGGAGGTTGGAGTGGCCTCAGCACAAGGGGATGAGGGAAGTTACTTAACCAGGAGTGGTTGTGGCCTCTATGTTTTCATTCCCCTCCTGCCTTTTGGCTGAAAGGACACTCAAGGCCCTGTCCTGGGCCCAGATGTTAAGCGGCTGTGAAGGCCTTTCCTCCCACCCCTCAAATCGCCCCCCAAGCAGCGATGGGCTCTGTCTAGTCATCAAATGTAAAGGAAGGACTTCCTTGTTCATGAGAGCAAGTCCCAGGTCTGCCAGAGAATTCTAGAAACGGAATTCCCAGGTGAGAATAGGTGGCCTGGACCGGGGGCGCCCCAGTGTGTCCCGCCTCTCCTTTGTCCCATGGGTTAATCTCTCACGGGCCATCCTGTCCCTACCACGCTGCTCTTGTGACCAGGGCTGGGACAAAGCCCTTGTCCTTGGCTTCTCTCACTCAGATGAGATGGGCTGGCTCTGAAAGGACTCACCTGGGCGCTAGAGGAGAAGAGAGCCAGGCTCTGAAAGCACATGCCAGTCAGGCCTCAGCTCCAGCTGTCACCTGCAATCCTACCACCTCTTCCGGTGGCTGGTTCCATGGCTCGGGTACTTTTCCTGGCCTCCACCACCTTTCCATAGCCACCTAAGTAGGGCCACAATCATTTTCTTTCAAAAAGCAGGAGCTGTCCATTGTCTCAAACACAGACCCTGTGCTCTGCTCTCAAACACAGACCCTGTACTCTGCTCTCCCATGGGCCCCTCCTCCCTGGGCCACCACAGGCTGGGCTGCAAGCAGACCCGGGGCTGCCAAGCCCTCCAGGAAAGCTTCTCCTCAGCTGTCCCAGGGCCACAACCAGGCAGCACAACTGTCCCCCTCTGCAGAGGGTCTTGCTCTCACCAGGTTCCTGGGTGCTACTGGGTGGGAGGTCGGGGCCGGGGGAGAGTACACTCATTGAGCGACTCACTGAGACTCGAAGATCGCTGTAGAGTGAGAACAGCTAGTTCCATTAGCACACAGCCTCCTGGAAGTCACCCTGTGACTTCCTTCTCTGAAGCAAAGATAAAGAGAGCGGTTGCAGGAGAGATGTTTATGAAAGGCCACATGGGAAGCCACGAAGATTGGCAAGTGCCCACAGCACAGGGATGTGGGCATAGCTAATTTGAGGAAACACAGTCAGAGAGGCCACCCCTTCGTGTCTGGGGAGATCACTCAGGGAGACAAGGCAAGGCAGGTGCTCAGGCAGACCTGGACCCTCAGGGCGCAGTGGGGATCGGTGGGTGATGAAGGAGACCCTGGCCCACCCCAGCTGAGGCATCTCCCAGTGCCCCAGTGGAAGCTGCTAGTAAGCCCCAGAGTAGCACTTGGTTTTCGCTGAATTTTGTTTTTGGTGCTTTAAGGTAAATTTCACAAACCCTTTAACCCACTGTGTGGGCTTAGGTCCAACTGTTTCTGTAAACGACCCCCTTGGGTGGCATTGAGAAGCACCTGAACTAGGTGGCCCTCAAATGACAATTGCCTTCGAGTGTCTGGTTCCCAGGAGTGGAGACCTGGTGAGCGGCCTCAAGGAAGGGGCCCTACTCCCAGACAGACACCTGTTCCTGCAGGTGGGGGTGGGCGTGGGGTTTGGGGCACGAGGGAAGAGGG